AATACAAGGCTTTATATAAGAGTACAAGGAATACGAATAGATTAAACTGTTTTGCTGTTGCGATTCGATACAGTGCGACTCGGGCAACTGCTCAATGTCGAGTCAGTTGTGTGTCCTTGCTGTCGCGCTGTATTTTGTCAAGTCAAAGGTCGCTGACTTTTGACCTTCGCGTAACCTCCAGGCGGTTACCCTAACCTCCGAGGGTTGAGTCGCGATGCTTCGATTTGGACTGCTTCGCTTGTGTCCTGAGTTTCGACACGACAGAGGCGCTTTAAGAGTTATTATTCCCAACAATATTAACACTGTTTTGTTGCTTTTGCTGTCCTCCTGACAGAGTATCTTATTGACTGACCCCTTTCAACCACAGTGGTGAACAAACATGAATTGTGAAGAGGCCGTAGTGGTATTAGTAAGACATTCAGATACGATTTGCGAGACACATGCTTACAATGATAACTGTGAACATTTGCAGAAACAAAAAGTTGTTACAGTATCCTAATAAATACAGCCCTGCAAAAAAATCCTCTCCTTGGACAATATTCAGTCAGAAGCTAACATGATAGCTGGCTTCAGTACCAGGCTATAATGTGCCAGCTGGCTTCAGTACCAGGCCATGACTTGCCAAGTGCATGACAATACCACTAGCTACTGCAAGCCAAGGCACAAGCATTTCTACCATACCACCACCCTGTGTCACCAAAACACCATTTCAAGTCCCATGCAGCAGTGCCTTGAGAAGAGCTCACAAGCTGAACAAGTGGGGATCACTTGAATGAGAGATGACTGAGGCAGCAGTGAATAAACCATACGAGGCAATGCTTTGAGTGCATTGAAGCCTTGTTTCTCTTATAGAATGAGGCAACAGTGTTGTTGAGCTGCATCAGCCTGCAGGGGAATTCAAGCAATGGGAAGGAATCAGGCGGACGTTAAGAGGACACAAAAAAGGATGAGGGGATGGAGACAACAAAGCACTTAAAAAAAAAGACGATACAGCCTTTATGCTCACAAACCACATCTATATTATCTCCAGAAGGACCTCTTTCAACCGCCACCATCTGCACCACGCCAAGATGCTTGTCCGTTCCCCTGACACTCAAGAGTCTGGAAACGACAACCAAGAAACGACAACCAAGAAACCGAAATGACACCAAGACACCTGCTGCAGACCACAGCAAACCTCTTGCGCGTCTAACTTGTTCTTCTCTCTCGTTCTCGCCACAAAAAGAACGGGAACAGTTCGACTGATATCCCTAACTGACTCCTTCACACACCAACTTTAATCGGCTGGGCACACGTAGGCTTTGCCAAGATTATTGAAAGATATCGCTTCGTTAACCAAATGTTGTGCACTGGTCTTTAGGGTAACTGCAGAGCCCATACTCGACATAGCTGAAGCAGTTAACCATCATAAGCCGTTAGACATCGTTCCCTGACTAGAGGTGGCCCGCGAGTTGTGCATATTGACGTCAACTACTCCGGACGTACAGCCTCGATATAAACGAATGAGGCCTTCGTCAGACAGGCCTAGAACGGGTTGGGCACGCTGAGCCTTAGCAGACTCGCGAACCGTCTTCAATTCCGAAGCTTACGAGCAAATGGCTGGTAAGCATAACACCTCACACCTTTGCGTGCACACACAAACCGGTTTGGTAAAATATTGTCTAAGTTGACCGGAAAAGCAAATGCTAGTCAGAGAAGAACTTACTGGAGGGGCCGCTGTCGCTTCGGGCTTTTGATCGAAAGTGCCCATCGGTTGAGGTTCCGGAAACAAGTCGTCGTCGCCTTGTCTTCGTTGTTGTTTTTTCACAGCGAACACACCCGTGTACCCGACATTGTTGTCTCCGAACTGCCCGAACTGCGGGATAGTACCCTGTAGAGGCGAGAGGGTGGGCAGAAGAAACAAAGAATGCCGAATAAGCAGCGGTGCAACGCGCAGGCTGGCAAGATCAGCAGAGCTCCAAACACGAGGACGATGATAAAGACGATTATGTCCGTTTTGTGACAGCCCAGAAAAGTTGAAGAACCGAATTGAGGAGCAGCCACCACGAGCAACGACGAACTTCCTTCAAGAAATTAGGGTTTGCTAACCTTCGCCTGTCGTTCCTCCGCTATGACTGGTTTTCTAATGGGTGGTGCGCTGGAGCCACCAGGAAGGGACTTAGGTGGGGCGAGAAGACCGGGACCACTTGGCTCTGCCATGGAAATTCAACAATAAACTCTTAACTAGTAGTTACTCCTTCGCCGCACGCACTCGTGGTAGATGGCTATTAGCTTAGATTACTATGGTAGCGCCGTTGTAAATGGTTCTGAGTGTGGTGTTGGTGGTGAGTGCGTTCGCGCTGTATAGACGCTAGAAGAGTGTACGTTTAGTAACGTAGGTGACTGCGGCAGTAGCAGCAACGTAAGCGCCTCGAATCACGCAGAGCTTCAGAGTTGTAAATATAATTACAGAAATGCCAAATGCTGAGTTGATTGGGGGACCCGAGGAGTGGCGTAGGGGGGAAGGCGCGCTCTGGGGAAGAATGGGGTGGGTGGGGGTGGAGAGCAGGGCTGTCGATTCAAGGGCATTTGCCCTTAATGCCCTGAACATTCCGGGTGAACTCCAGGCCAGCTTCGGCATTTCAAAGGGCTGGTTTCGAGGGGAGCCCGTTTTTCTTACGGGCTGATTTTGAGAAATTGGGGTATCAACCCGGATCCGTTAAGGGCTGGTTTGGGGCCCTTCCCTGAGATCCAGGATTTAGTGTACAAGTAACCCTGCGAGTTTCCTAAGTTGACACTCTTCTCCTCCCGCACCCTTATCCTGTCGCTCCCACATTCATCTTCTTGGTATGAAAGGAGGTTCTAGGGTTGATGTTTATGTCTGTGGTTGCAAAATGTTTCTAAGACATTGTTCACCCCTCACAATTCGAAGTACTCACGCTGGAATCAAGACACTGACACCCTTACATGGCGAGGTGGTATTCAGCCCCATCGGTTCACACTAGGAATACTACATGAGAACGAACTTCCTTGGAAGTGCTGTGCGATTGTACACAAGAGTTCAAACGACTTCTTTGCTGACGATATTAGCCCTACGAGCCGCCCCCCCTCCCCCACCCCTCTTCCCCCCCTGCTGTAGGTTCACAGATAACTCGTTAGCTAGCTCCTTCCCGCTGACATCCCCCTTTGTGAAATTAGGGCACACGTACGTTTTTTAAAGAAGCCCGGATTTCAAGTTTTGGTTTGGACCTGCACCCGTGATCGTTAAGGGCTAAAAAACGGTCACCTTCGCGAAAATCAGGGCCAAACTTCGAGCAGCTCAGGACTCAAAGTGTTGCCCCCAGGAACTTCGACAGGCCTGGTGGAGAGGAGAACTTGAAGCAGAAGAAGCAAGGCCAATAGAAAGCCCATGTGAACAGGCAGCGAGGACGAGCAGCCAGTGCTGCCGAGCCAAGCCAATGGAGCCAGGTAGAGTACCCCCTGGAGAATGCCGAGATACGGCACTGCTGTGTGTGGGGCGGATGCCGAAGCTAGCAGAGTGGCAAGTGAAACCGCTAGGGGAGGGGCGAGGTCAAGAGAGATTTTTGGATGGAGCAGGTATGCAAAGTTGAGAGGTTCGGCCAAGCGCGAAACGGCCTGGTTTGGTGGTGGTGGTGTGTGTGTGTGTGTGTGTGTGTGTGTGTGTATGTGTGTATAGAATTGGGGTGCACCATGCACGAGGAGCTACTGTAGGGCGGATGGGGAGCTTGGGCTTCGTTGGACGTGCTTCAAACGCTCATCCGTCAACGGGTCTATGCAAGGCATCTTGGCTTCAGCGGCAAGATCTTCGCAGTAGGGATCTTCGGTACAAGACAGACATCGCACCATCTGTCTTGAAAAACCATAGTGAAGTTATCGTAGAATGCGATAATCGCCTTCTATCGCTTTCATGTGTTGTAGAGATGTGCACAACAAGTTGTTTTGATGGTGCATACACTAGAGTGAATACTATGGTAATTCAGATCGCCTTCCTGCGAACTTGGGACAGGACAGCCCCCAAAAGTGCACCGCAGTGGTTCCAGCGTGGCAGCGCAAAAGATGCTCTCACGACCTCACCAACTCCTGTGTGTGCGACCGTTTCGAGACTCAACATTCCATCGGCCAATCAACAGAGACTGCACGAATCCATCCCCCTCTGCGACCGCATAGCCATCGCACGTTGGGGCGCTCATCCCAACCTGCGACGTCCACATTCGTCCCCCCGCCACCTCATCACAAACCCCAATGCCTTGCAGGTGCGGAATGCACTTTTCGCTGTCCCCACTTCAATGTCCGGACACCCCAGGAAGGCGATCTCAATTCTGCAAGTGTTGCAGGCTCTATAGTAAAGCGCTATCCAATGGGCAAAAGCACTCAGCCAAAATATCGCCGACATGCCCATGCCACGTGGGCCTCATCAGTCAGGAAATGTACAGCTGGCTCCTTGACTCCCAATTCCCGAATCTCGACTCGCTCAACACCAATAACCGACACTCTTCCGTAGCCAACGCACACCCTGAACCCTGAAACCTCTGGGTCGAGTCGCCACCGCGCATGAATGGCGACGATCTTCGTCGCAGCGGAGATTTCAACCACGCACAGATTCTACCTGCTATGGCGGCCCCAATTTTCGCACACGCCTCGAAATCGTCGCTTGGAATCGCCCACATCGTCTGCTCTCCAAACCTCACAAATTTGATCCTTCCAGATAATTCGTCCATCCACGACAGAAGAACAGCGACACTGTCTCGATTCTCGAAGCATGCGGCAATGCATGGACGCTACGCCACGCCATATACAGTAATTTGTCAGCTAATTACCCTGGTGTGGAGTTTCCACGGAGCAGTCACATCACACCCTCAAGCGACGTCTTTTAGACAGCAGCAGTAGCTTTCAAAAGCCGAGGCGCATAGCATTCAGAAGCTTAAATCTCTCTTGCCGCGTCCTTCTCAACTCCACACCGCCAGTTTTCTTGTTTGAAGTTGCTAGTATCGTCCAGACACATGGCTCGCGTCTCGCTCTTCGTGCTCCTGGCCTTAGTCCTAGCCTTGGCCGTCTCCCACGTCCCTACTGCTTCTGCTTTCAACGCTGCAGGGTCGATTCGTCTCGGTCTTTCCAAAATCTTCCTTCCTCACCGGGCGCCGGATGGTCCCATACCTTCGTCTTCATGCAAGAACATTGAGTGTCCGGCGTACCAGTTAGTGCACGAAGAGTCGGACTTCCAGATTCGCCGCTACAGGAGCAGCGTCTGGGCCGAGACGGACCCAATCAACGAGGTGTCTTTTAAGAAGGCCGTTTACGCTGGCTTCCACAGGTACTTCAATATTACTGGAAATTGGTCGTACTCGCGAGTCTAATTACCGACCTTTTGCTAAGCCATTCTACCTTTCCAGCCTTTTCCAGCTCTCGCCTATTGCCCGAATTAGGCTGAGGACATTTTTTCCGTATTTTTCTTCTTTTGTTTTCTTTCCCGAATCACTTCCTCTTCCTCCTCTTCAGGCTGTTCCAGTACATTCAAGGTCGCAACGACGATGGCGTCACCATTCCCATGACTGCTCCCGTGCTCACTACCATCAAACCCTCCGGCGGTCCCTTCTGCGCGTCCACCTTCCTCGTCCGCTTCCTCGTTCCCAAGAGCTTCGCCGAGAATCCCCCCAAGCCGGCTTCCTCCCTTAACCTGCACATCCGTCGCGCGCCGTCGCTCTGCGTCGCCGTGCGAACCTTCTCCGGTTTCGCGACGGATTTCAATGTTGCACAGGAGGCAGCGAATCTTGGCGACAGCCTGGCGAATACCGCATGGGCGAATGTTACTGCAGCGTTGGGAGGGGAGGCGTACAGCATTGCAGAGTATAACTCGCCGTTTGAGCTGATTGGACGGGTGAACGAGATTTGGGTGCCGTTTAGGGAGGCCGACGGGGAGCAGGATAAGTGCACTCCATAGTTTCACACTAGGAAACGTTTCTTGGTAGTACCGCCCTAGTTTGTGTTCTGTTTGGACCTTGCACCAGAATACGGTAGGGGCTTCACCTTGTGGCCTCATCCCGTTGTGTAACGGCTGTTCATGCTCTTCTACCGTATGTTTCCCTCTGTATCTTCTGAAGCTCTCTTCCTACCACATGGTGAATACCTAGCTAGGTAGCATAGAAAAAGGGGAAATGCAAGGTTTTTTGCACATCCATCGCTTGCCATGTACCTATGTAACCATGCTCATGTTTGGACCTATTCTGGACGCTACACTACGCAAACCCCAGCTACCATACTATGGAAAAAAAACTTGGTTGTTACAACCACCTGACCCCTGCTATAGTACCGTATGTGTACTGCTGGTCTAAGATTGCGTCTCAAGTCTGCCCACCATACCATTTTTCCGAAGCTAATGGACGTAAGAAAGGCGCAGCTGACCACGCTGCTGTAGCTCACGAGCAAGGAAGTAGCGAAGAGCAATGTGCTTCGTTCTGTGCTCGAGTCTGTGCTCCCGACACAAGGCCAGCATGGCCTTGTTGTCTACGTACAGAACTGGAGGAGAACGAGGCGCCTCTCCTAGGTCAGTCAGCAAGTAAGTGAACCAGCGTAGCTCCTGTGCAGCCATGGCCCCCGCGTAGATCTCGGCCACACAGCTGGAGCCGAGAACAGAAGACGAGCGGGTAGACCACCACGAAACAGAGCCGGAATCAAGGCTGAAGGTGTAACCCTGTGACGACCGCTGCGTAGCCTGGTCGTCAGCCCAAGAAGCGTCTGCGTGCCCTGTGAGGACCACTCGACGTCGCCCTCCAAGCACTAACCCCATGCCCGACGTACTGCACAAGTAGCGCAACACCCTCTTCGCTGTAGGCATGTGCTCTGGTCGGTGTCTCCCAGGAGCAATATAGCGTGTCAAGATGCTAAGAGGGTATGCAAGGTCAGGTCGTGTGTGTCAGAACATTATAGCTTACTTGTTTGTGTAGGCTATAGTGGGGTATCCCATAGGGGGTACAACCCAATTAGGGTTTCCTATTTGTACTCACCTCGTTCGTAGTCAATTCATTCACGTTGCTTTCTTCACATGGAATCAGAGCAGGTCCCATCCTAGGGACTGTTCTTTAGGGCCCACCGAAGCGCGCCCGAGGCGCGCGCGTTTTTTTTTTTTAGCGACCCTTCGAGTCGCCCTGTTCCTACTCGCGGCCCGGCCGCCGCCCTACCTTAGCGGCCCACCCGCCGCCCTCGCTAGCGGCCCCGCCGTCCCGTCGCGGCCCCGCCACCCAGTCGCGTCCCCGCTACCCCTAAGCGCGGCCCCGCCACTCCGTAGCGGCCCCGCCACCCCCCCTTCGAGCGGCCCCGCCCCTACGTCGCGGCCCCGCCACTCCGTCGCGGCCCCGCCATCCCTTCGAGCGGCCCCGCCACTCCGTCGCGGCCCCGCCAACCAGTCGCGGCCCACCCGCCGCCCTACCTGCGGCCTCCCCGCCGCCCTACTTGCGGGCGTCCGCCGCCCTACCTGCGGCCGTCCCGCCGCCCTACCTGTGGCCTACCCGCCAGCCTACCTGCGGCCGTCCGCCGCCCTACCTGCGGCCGTCCCGCCGCCCTACCTGCGGCCTACCCGCCGCCCTACCTGCGGCCTACCCGCCGCCCTACCTGCGGCCGTCCGCCGCCCTACCTGCGGCCGTCCCGCCGCCCTACCTGCGGCCTACCCGCCGCCCTACCTGCGGCCCGCCCGGCCGCCCTACCTACGCGGCCCAGTAGCAGCCAAGCCGCCCGGAGCAACCGAGCCGCCCAGGAGCCACCGAGCCGCCCAGCAGCAGCTGAGCCGCCCAGGAGCCGCCGAGCCGCCCAGCAGCAGCCGAGCCGCCCAGCAGCAGCCGAGCCGCCCGGGAGCCGAGCCGCCCAGCAGCCTAGCGGCCGTGTCGTCTGGCGACCTTCCTCCCGAGCCGCCCGACCTGCCCTGCCCGGTGAGCACTGCACTGCTGTCACTGCGTACCCTTCCCCTACTGCTTGCACTGCGCCACTGTCGTCGTCATGGCTACACCCACTGTCCTCACTTTTGACGCTGAGGGTCGAGCCATTGACTTTGAGGTCTGGCTCGACGACCTGCAGCTGTTTTTACAGCGCAACAGGGCCGACAGTCTGTCTCTCTTTGACCTCACCTCTGGCGCTGTCCCTGCCTCTGCTGCTGATGCTGACGCCACTGTTCGCTCTCAGTGGGCCACGCCCGATGCTGCTGCACGTCTTGCTGTGCGTCGCCACCTGCCTACCGCTGAGCGCGCGCACTTTAGCCAGTACAAGAGTGCTCAGACCTTGTACGACGCTGTAGTTGCGCGCTACTCCTCCCCTGCCACTGCTGCACTGAGCCGCCTCATGCTACCCTTCCTCTTCCCTGACCTTGCCGCCTTTCCCACTGTCGCTGATCTCATCACGCACCTCCGCACTAGTGACACTCGCTACCGCGCTGCACTTCCTGCTGACTTCTGCGCCAAGAACCCCCCCCCCATGTACATCACTCTCTACTTCCTAGTCACTCGCCTCCCTGACTCCCTTCGTGTAGTCCGGGACCACTTCCTTGCGGTCTGTCCCACCACCCTCACAGTCAACAGCCTCGAGAAGGCCCTTCTTGCAGCAGAGAAGAGCATAATTGCTGTAGGAGCCTCTCGAGGTGACCCCCGCGCCCCCATCTTTGAGGGGTGTTCTCCTTCCCCTCTCCTGCCCTCTGTCGCCTCTGCCGCTGCGGCCGACCTCGTTGGTCTTGAGTCGGTCGGTGCGGCGTCTGCCCCTAGCGGGAGACGCCGCTCTGGCAAGGGCAAGGGGGGCAAGGGAGCGGGTGGGGCCAGTGGGTGCGGTGGCGGTGGGGGTGGAGGCGGCGGAGGGAGTGGGGGTGGCGGTGGAGGTGGTTGTGGGGGTGGGGGTGCTAGTGGCAGCGGTGGCGACGGGAGTGGCGGCGGCGGTGGCGGTGGTAGCGGAGGTGGCGGAGGTGGCGGCGGTGGAGGTGGAGGCGGGGGCGGTGGAGGCGGAGGCGGGGGTGGCGGAGGCGGAGGTGGTCGGAGTGGGGCTTCGCAGCGGAGCGGCACTGGTGGCGGTCAGCGCCAACAGCAGCAGCAGCAGCAGCAGCAACGTTCTCGCGACGTCCTCACCCCTCAGCAGCTCCGTGAGTGGTACACGCAGCGTCAGCGCGGTGGGGGTTTTGGTCCCTGCACCTACTTTCTCCGCACTGGCGACCGCACTGGAGAGCAGTGTGGGGGTGCCCACCCCGCTCAGCGCTGCTTTGGCCGCCTGACAGACGCTTGGCGTCAGCAGTTCCCGGAGGCCGCGGAGATCCCCCGCTGGGGAGAGCTGTCTAGGGCTGGTGTAGCTATCTTTGATCTTGATTTTGATGCTATCCTTGCTGCCATGTATCCTGTGACCACTAGTGAGGAGGGTGACTGTTACCGGTGTTTCCCGCCCGACCCGGGCATTTGTACTGCTGCTCCAGGTGTCGGTGAGGCTTCTGCTCTAGGTGCCAGTGCGTCTGTACTCTCAGGTACTCGTGAGACTGCTCTCTCAGGTACTAGTGCGTCTGCGCTCTCAGGTACTGCGTCGGCTTCGGCCTCCCACACCTTCACTCTTGACTCTGGAGCGTCTCGCTCTTTCTTTCGGGACCGCACCACACTTACGCCGCTTAGTCGGCCGGTTGCGGTTTCCCTGGCTGACCCCTCTGGGGGTCCTGTCCTGGCTCACTTCTCCACGGTCCTCCCGTGTCCGGCGGCTCCCTCTGGCACCCTGTCTGGTCTCTACCTCCCCTCGTTCTCTACGAACTTGGTGAGTGGTGCTGACCTACAGGATGGGGGAGTCCACCAGTTCACCCCTGCTAGTCAGCGAGTGACACACTGCACGGAGGCTAGCACGGGTCGTCACCTGGCTACGTTTACACGTCAGCTAGGGTCGAGCCTGTACACACTGACCACTGCTTCTCCTCCAGGTGCTGAGTCTGGTAGAGTCCCTTCGTCTGGTCAGGTGTTTGCTGCAGCGTCCAGGTCTGGTCCTGAGTCTGCCCCCTGTTCGTGTCGCCGTCTGTCTCACGAGACCCTCCTCTGGCACCACCGTCTTGGCCACCCCTCTCTGCTTCGGCTCAGAGGCATGGCCTCCCGTCTTCTTGTGTCTGGTCTCCCCCGGTCTCTACCTCCCCTTCCTCAGGGCCCTGGCCCTGCCTGTGTCCCCTGTGTAGAGGGGCGCCAGCGTGCTGCCCCTCACTCCTCCCAGTTTCCTCCGACAGAGGCTAAACCCTAGACGCTTCACATGGACGTGTGGGGCCCTGCCCGCGTCCGTGGACTCGGTCACGAGCGCTACTTCCTGCTGGTGGTTGACGACTACTCGCGTTACACCACAGTCTTCCCCTTGCGCAGCAAGGGTGATGTCACTGAGGTGCTGATCGACTCGATCCGCGCAGCTCGTCTCCAGCTCAGGCAGAGCTTTGGCTCGGACTTTCCTGTGTTGCGTCTGCACTCGGACAGAGGCGGAGAGTTCTCCTCTGGCCTTCTGCGTGCCTACTGTCGTGCGCGTGGCATCCGCCAGACTTTCACGCTTCCGGACTCCCCGCAGCAGAATGGGATTGCAGAGCGCCGCATTGGCATGGTCATGGACGTCGCTCGTACGTCCATGATGCATGCGGCTGCCCCCCATTTTCTGTGGCCGTTTGCGGTCAGGTACGCAGCGCATCAGATCAACCTCCACCCCAGGGTCTCCAGGCCGGAGACCTCCCCAGCGCTGCTGTGGATGGGGAAGGTTGGCGATGCGTCGGCGTTCCGGGTCTGGGGATCTCGGGCGTTTATCCGCGACTTGTCTGCGGACAAGCTGTCCCCTCGCGCTGCTCCCTGCGTCTTCCTGGGGTTCCCCCCCGACGCCCCCGGGTGGCAGTTCTACCACCCCACCTCTCGACGTGTTCTGTCCTCCCAGGACGTCACGTTCGACGAGTCGGTACCCTACTACCGCCTCTTCCCC